ATCCAGGGATTGAACCCAGGTCTCCTGCATTGCAGGCAGATTCTTTACCATCTGAGCCACAAGGGAAGCCCATGACAAACCTAGTCAGTATATTAAAAAGCAAAGACATCACTGTTCAAGTAATGTTCATATAGTCAAAGCTATGGTTTTTCCAGTAGGCATTTATGGATGTGAGAGTTGGACCATGAAGAAGGCTGAGCCCCGAAGAATTGATGCTTTTGAACTGTGGTGCTGGAGAAGATTCTGAAGAGTTCCTTGGACTTCAAGGAGATCAAACCAGTCACTTCTAAAGGAAATCAATCCTGAATATTCATTGGAAGAACTGATGGTGAAGCTCCAATACTTTGACCACCTGATGTGAAAAGCCGACTTATTAGAAAGACCCTGATGCACAGAAAGATTGAGGGAAGGAGAAGGGGGCAACAGAGGAGGAGATGGTTGGATAGTATCACTGACTCAATGGACATGAATCTGAGCAAACCCTGGAAGTAAGTGAAGGACAGGGAAAGCTGGCGTGTTGCAGTCCATGCGGTCACAAAAAGTTGGACAAGACTTAGTAACTGAGCAATAACAACAACGATGAAGAGTTGAAAGGAGCCAGGCAAACATAAGTTAGGAAGAATGATTTTCTAAAGAAGTGATAACAGCATTAGCAAAGGATTGAAGGCAAGAAAGAGTGTGAAAGTGAAAGTGAAAGTCACTCAGTCATGTCTGACTCTTTGAGACCCCATGGACTATAGCCCATCAGGCTCCTCCGTCCATGGGATTCTCCAGGCAAGAATAGTGTAATGGGTTGCCATTCCCTTCTCCAGGGCATCTTCCTGATGCAGGAATTGAACCCAGGTCTCCTGCATTGCAGGTTGATTCTTTACCGAGAAGAGTTTCAGTGCAGTTCAGTTCAGTAGCTCAGTTGTGTCTAACTCTTCACAACCCCATGGACCACAGCACTCCAGGCCTTCCTGTCCAACACCAACTCCTGGAGACTACTCAAACTCATCTCCATTGAGTTGGTGATGTCATCCAACCATCTCATCCTCTGTCGTCCCCTTCTCCTCCCTCCCTCAATCTTTCTGATCATTAGGGTCTTTTCAAATGGGTCAGCTCTTTGCATCAGGTGGCCAAAGTATTGGAGTTTCAGCTTCAACATCAGTCCTTCCAATAAACACCCAGGACTGACCTCCTTTAGGATGGACTGATTGGATCTCCTTGCAGTCTAAGGGACTCTCCAGAGTCTTCTCCAACACCACAGTACAAAAGCATCAGTCTTCAGCGTTCAGCTTTCTAGTCCAACTCTCACATCCATACATGACTACTGGAAAAACCATAGCCTTGACTAGACGGACATTTGTTGGCAAAGTAATGTCTCTGCTTTTTAACATACTACCTAGGTTGGTCATAACTTTCCTTTCAAGGAGTAAGCATCTTTCAATTTCATGGCTGCAGTCACCATCTGCAGTGATTTTGGAGCCCCCCCCAAAATAAAGTCAGCCACTGTTTCCACTGTTTCCCCAGCTGTTTTCCATGAAGTGATGGGACCGGATGCCATGATCTTAGTTTTCTAAATGTTGAGCTTTAAGCCAACTTTTTCACTCTCCTCTTTCACTTTCATCAAGAGGCTCTTTAGTTCTTCTTCACTTTCTGCCATAAGGGTGGTGTCATCTGCATATCTGAGGTTATTGATATTTCTCCCGGCAATCTTGATTCCAGCTTGTGCTTCCTCCAGCCCAGCATTTCTCATGATGTACTCTGCATATAAGTTAAAGAAGCAGGGTGACATATACAGCCCTGATGTACTCCTTTCCCAGTCTGGAACCAGTCTGTTGTTCCATGTCCAGTTCTAACTGTTGTTTCCTGACCTGCATACAGAAGCAGGTCAGGTGGTCTGGCATTCCCATCTCTTTCAGAATTTCCCACAGTTTATTGTGATCCACCCAGTCAAAGGCTTTGGCATAGTTAATAAAGCAGAGTTTATTGACTAGAGAAGAGTTTAGTGTAGCTATTTTTAAAAAATGAGACATTAGAGCTTTAAAAGGGAGAGTGAAGTCACAGTAAGCTCCTAGACCTTCTACCAGGAGTGCCTGGGCTTTTTCTTCAGAATTGTCATTAAATATGATTCAAGGAATCATATAAATATGATTCATTAAATAGATTCAAGAATATTATTGGCCTGTATCCCTTTGGTCAAGGTTACACCTTACCAGGACCTATCCCTGTATTTCAGGAGCTATTTCCAGAAATAAGGGAATTGCTATAAGTTGGAAAGTAGCCCCAAGCAATGCAGGAGACCATGGTTTGATTCCTGGGTTGGGAAGATCCACTGGAGAAGGGATAGGCTACCCATTCCAGTATTCTGGCCTGGAGAATTCCATGGACTGTATAGTCCATAGGGTCGCAAAGAGTCAGACACAACTGAGTGACTTTCACTTTCACTTGGAAGAAGAAACTAAAGAAACAGGATATCCCAGGCTGCTGATCACAGCAGTTGATTCTGCTGGCAAGTGACCATTGACACAGGATATAAAATTGCAGAGACTGGGAAGTGAGTGTGATGAGTGTCCCAGGGCTCCCAAATCCTAGAGCAGAAATGCCTAAACTTTTTGGTGGCGAGCACCCCAAGTAGTTACATAATGTTTAAAAAGTTGGTGCCTTCAATTGCCAAGAAAGTTTGGGTAATGAGTGGCTCTGGAATAAAGTTCTGACTTGTTTAAATTGCCACTATGATGGATCTTGGGGAAAAGAGGAACAAGTTTCAAGACCTTGCAAAATTGATATATATAATAGAAATCCTCATTAGCAGTTCCTTTTGGAAAAGGTTGTGAAATATCAAAAACTATTGTTGACAAAGCTACTCACTTATGATTCCCATGATCCTGGAGATGTGTATTTCTGAAACACATACCCTTCTAACAACATTTGCTTGACTTCTTTCTGGGTTTGCCTTTAATCTTTTAAGGAAGTAAGGGAGACTTTCTGTCTAGGCCCATGGGAGTCACAGAAGAAAACAGGAAGGCAGTCAGGAAGCCACAGTAGTGGGCCCATATGGATATCTACCTGACATCACGAATTTTCACTGCTATCATTTCTTACTCTTAAATTGTCTACAAGAAAAAGCTCCCAGGATCTTGATGGTGCAAATCTCTTGTTCCAGGCTCCTTGATTTCATAAGCGTGATGACCTATGACTTCCATGGTAGCTGGGACACATGTATAGGCACAATAGTCTCCTGTATGTAGGAACCAAGGATTGATGTGACCTGGGTTATTTCAACTGTATAAGAAATAGAAGACTCAAATATGCAGAAGGAAGATGGGGAAGGGGTTTAGAGCCTTGGTTGTGGGAAAACAGGCTTTCTCTTTGGGGGATGATTAGCTAGACTTTGTTAATCATGTGGGACAAACACTGGTGAAGAATAATGTCTGTGTCGCTTCTGCAGGAATATGCTGTGAAGTACTGGAGAGACAATGGCATCCCTTTAGAGAAACTCATCATGGAGTTCACCACCTATGGGAGGACCTTCCAGCTCAGCACTTCTGACACCTCAGTCTGTACCCCAGTTTTTGGAGCAGGGTCATCTGGTCCTTACACACATGAGGCTGGCTTCTGGGCTTACTATGAGGTAACCACCATGGCTAATTCAGGCTAAAATGCCCTGGGGAAAATTCTTCAACCCTCCAAGTCATCTTGCTATTCTTATATTCTTGAGATTTTATACCCTGGCTTTCATAGATCTGTGGAAAGGCAGGTTGATGGCTATGGAATACTTTTCACTGAAAAAAAAACTATCTGAATTGTCTTTTGGGATTTTGAAGTGTATGGTACCATCTTTCCCACAGCCTAAAGCTATACTGAATTTTATTACATCCATGTAAATAGTTGGAGAAGGATTTCAACAGACTAGCCTGGGGAGAGCAAATATTATGATTTCTCCACCAACCTGAATTGAAAGAATTTACACAAAATTTGTGCTGAAAATATATAGAATGATTAGCAGTGTTTGTTACTCAAGTGTCTGTGGAAGAATGATCTCAGCACATATAGTCATGCTTACCATTTCTCAATCTCTCCTATGTACAGAATTAAAGTTTCACTGGCTAGCTGCCTGTTTTCATAGAGATTTGTGTTCATTTTATGAAATAAAATCATTTTTGAGATACATATGTGAACTTAATGTATATTTCATAATGTCCCCTTTCCCATCTCCTTCCCATTTCTTACTATTTTTCTCCCATTTAAAGTCCTTTCTCCTCCAACACATGACATAATCTGACATGTTCAGTGTTGCCTTCCTCATTCCTCCATAGAGCTGTACATTCCTAAGTAAAGCCAGAATTGAAGACCAAAAAGTCCTATATGATTATAAAAATACTAAGTGGTTTCGTTGTGACAATATTAAGAGCTATAGATATGTTATGAACAATGTAAAAAAAATACAATTCTAGCTTTGAATCCTAAGCTTATCAGCAGCCCATTTCACCAAGATCTATGATTTGAAAGATATAAATATTCAGAGTTGGGTGCACACCAGGCAGCGTCTAGATAAGTACTTTGAATGCAGCTTCTATGGGGTCTGATATTGGCACACCTAGAGTAACTTGTGACTTCAGGACATCACTAAAATGGGGACAGGAGGGTAGCCAATCCATTAACCTCCCCGGGAGGTCCTTCTTGTACTTCAGTCCAGGCCCAAGGAGTCAGTAGATGAGTTTATTTTAATTCCTTTTGTGACCCCAGTGCTTGCCACTCTGCCTGATTTGCATGGTAGGATGATGTCAGTATGGTAGGATGTCAGTATGATGATGACTGACAGACTAAATAGATGATGTCATAGGAAAGGGAGGATTTTTGACTTGGTTTTACATGAATCTAGGACAGGCTATCAAATTGTGACATTCCAACTCCACACCAGGAAACTCGGACACTTGGAAGAACTCCTTTTCAGGTACTGTATTCTTCAACTTTGTCTTTTATATTTTCTCTTTGTTAAAAAACTTGTTACTTCTCACTCTGTGCATCCATTCTTTTCCCAAGTTCTTGGATCTTTTTTATAATCATTACTTTGAACTCTTTCTCAGGTAGACTGGCTCTTTCTACTTCATTTAGTTGTTCTTCTGGGGTTTTATCTTATTTCAAGTAAAGCATACTCCTCTGCCATCTTATTTTGTCTAAACTATTTGTATTTTTGTGTAGGTGGAATGTTAGTTATATTTCTCAGCCTTGGAGAAGTGACTCTTTGTAGGGTATGTCTTATGTAACCTAGGAGTGCACTCCCCATTCATCTCCCAAGGACTAGGGACCAGTGGTCTCAGGGTAAGTTCTGACCTGTTTACAGACTCAGTTCCTCAGGCTGCAGGATTATAGTTTTCTGCCTTATGATGCTTGCCCTCTGGTTCCTGAGGCTAGACTAGAGGTTTGTCAGGCTTCCTGGGTTGTCTGGCCCCTGTAGGGGCCAGTGCCTGCCCAGTGGTGAGTGGAACTGGAGGTCTTGGTCCTCCAGCAGGCAGGGCCATGTCAAGGGGCATGTTTAAAGGTGGCTGTGGGCTCAGGAAGTCTTTTGACAGGCTGTCTGCTGATGGATGGGGCTGCATCCCCACCCAGTTTGTTGTTTGGCCTGAGCCATCCTAGCTCTGGAGCCTAGAGTCTGTTGGATGGGGTCAGGTTTTGCTGCTAATGATCCAAGCAAGATGTCTACTTCCAGTCAGAATTCATACAGATGAATTCCCACCCCTCCACCCCAATATTTTTACCACCAGTATCTTTGTCCCCAGGATGAGCCACCACTCTCCTCACCTTCCCAGGAGACCCTCAAAATCCCAACAGATAGGTCTTGCTCAGGCTTCTATGAAGTTACTGCTTTAGCCCTGAGTCTTGGTGTGCATGAGATTTTGTGTGTAGCTTTTAAGAGTGGAGTCCCTATTTCCCCCAGTTCTGTGAAGTTCCTGCCATTAATCCCTACCAGCCTTCAAAGTAAAAGACTCTGGAGGCTGTTCTTCTTGAGGTCAGATATGAGGCTGACATGGAGCTCAGAACTTTCACACCTGTGGAAGAATTTCTGTCGTATTATTTTTCAGCTTGTGAGATCTGATCATATCACAAGTGCACCCCTCCTAGTGTCCCATTGTGGTTACTTCTTTATGTCTTTGGATGCAGGATATTTTTTGGCAGGTTTCAGTCTTTTTTTAATCAATAGTTGTTTAGCAGTGAGTTTTGATTTTGGTGTGCTTGTGAGAAGAGGTGACCTCACGAAGTTTTTTCTACTCTGCCACCTTGTATAGGAATTGGAAGAGCCCCTAAAATATTTACTCTGCCTTAAGTATCCTCTACATCTAGCAAGTCCAAATACAAAGTCTGGCAAGCCATCCAAATCCTCGATGTGTACAGACCAACAATCTCCTATCGCCAGGGCTAGCAGTAGAAAGCATAAAACTCATTCCCGGGACTTATAGTTAGAGGGCAGGGATGCACAAGTATAATATTTCAGTAAATTGAAGCCACTCTACTGAGCACTCAGTTAGGAACCCCTCTGACCCTTCTACACTTTTACACAACAAACCAGCACGTGGAGAGAGCACCCTCTGTACAATGAGTCTTTATGCAGTCATATAGTAATTATGAGCCCTTTGCCCCTCCCTGCACCCCATGCTGGCAGACAGGAGGGTCAGAGCAATGCAGAAGGACAAGAGCAGCTGTCCTCAGTTCTGGAGAGTCTGTGGTCAGGAAGAGCATGTGAAAGTAGTCACAGCTTTTCAGTTGTAGTACAAGCTTAGGTAGACCAAATGGTTCCGATGCTTTCTAAAGTCCTTGTCTGTGGACAGCTGCAATGAAAAATACTGTCAAAGTCAAAATTCACATGAGAACTCCCTGCCTCTGGTCTTCCTGGATGTGTGAAATAGACCCGTATGTTAGAGCTGTTTTAGCCTACCTGAGCCCCAACCACATAGTAACCTAACCTAGAGAATCTCTCAACATTGCTCTGTATATCTACTCTTTGTCATCTTTTTCTGGAATATATCATGCTAGGAATTATTTTCTACTTGGCAAATCATTAAGTATAGCTGGTTAATTTCTTGAAAACAAAGATTATGTGTTTAATTCTTGAATGTTACCTGTAGGCCCTAGCAAAATGATGTTAGTACACTTAGTGAAGTGAAGTTGCTCAGTTGTGCCCAACTCTTTGCGACCCCATGGACCATAGCCTACCATGCTCCTCTGTCCATGGAATTTTCCAGGCAAGAGTACAGGAGTGGGCTGCCATTTCATTCTCCAGAGTTAGTACACTTGGCATTTAATAAACACTTGCAGAATTAATCCAAAGTTCCACCAGGGGAAAAAGGACACTTCTGGAATTATTATAAGTGACACAGGCTGACCATTTATTATGCTACGGGTCTGGTGCTATAATGTCTCAATCTTTACAACTTCATCACATCAAGTCTAGTTCACATCCATTCTAAAGATAAGCAAACTGAGGCTTAGAAAAGTTAGAGGATACATGGCAAACAAATATGGAACTAGTGTTTGAACTCAGGCAGTCTGTTCCTAAAATCCATGTTCTTGCCAGAATGATCCACTGTACCTTGATGATCTAACACTAAGTGATGTGATGGGAAGAGCACTGCCTTAGAAGTCACATGATCTAGACTCTAGCTGAGCAACTTCAACAAGCCATTTAATCCATCTAAGCCTCAGTTTGGACTTCCCTGGTAGCTCAGCTGGTCAAGAATCCACTTGCAGTGTGGGAGACCTGGGTTTGATCCTTGGGTTGCAAAGATCCCCTGGAGGAGGGCATGGCAACCCACTCCAGTATTCTAGTCTGGAGAATTCCCACAGACAGCGGAGCCTGGCAGGCTACAGTCCATGGGGTTGCAGAGTCAGATGTGAAAGTGTTAGTCACTTCAGTTGTGTCTGACTCTTTGTCACCCCATGGTCTCTACCCCACCAGGTTCCTCTGTCCATGGGATTCTTTAGGCGAGAATACCGGAGTGGGTTGCCATTGCCTTTTCCAAAAGAGTCGGATGCAATTGAGTGACTAAGCACAGCACAGCACAATCAGTTTCCTCCTCAATCATAGAGGATAATTATCTCAGATTACCACAAAGATTACCTGGGGACTACATAAGAAACTGTGACTTTTGTTCAGTCACATACACCTTTAGAAATCTAGTGAAATTGTGTAACTCTCCAAAATTTCCCATATGTATATATTACACAAAATTGTGCAAGTAATTTCAGGGGATCAAGAATTTCTTGAAGCTTATTTACAGACCCCTGGTTAAGAATCACTGATACATGTGGAAGTATTAGGTAAAGGTTCCACAGAAGTCCAGTCATATTACCTCAGTTTTCAGGGTTCTTTTCTGTAGACATGGAACCTGAGCCCAATCTGGAGATCCAAATTTCATTGGCCAGGTGACTTTCTGGGGTGCCTTTTTCTCTAGTTTATATGTGCCAGGGCTAGAAATAAAAATATAAAACCTTATGTTGAAGAGTTAGTGACCACCTAGCAGTCACCTCTAGTCTGGAGAAATCCCACAGACATAGGAGCCTGGCAAGCTATAGTCCACAGGATCGCAAAGAGTTGGATGTGAAAGTGTTAGTCACTTCAGTCATGTCTAACTCTCTGTGACTCCGTGGACTGTAGCCTACCAGGTTCCTCTGTCCATGGGATTCTCCAGGCGAGAATGCTGGAGTGGGTTGTAGTGACCACAAGCTTCATCAGTACCACCTGTGTACCTGAACTAGTCCTTCTTCTTAACAGGGAAGCCCCCCCTATGATATCATCTTGTTTGGTGTTATTCAGCACTCCACCAGGTCACCATACTTCCGGGTGTACCTGTGGTAGCCCCAGCTCATGGCTACTGTCTTGGTATAATTATTAAGACCCCCTTTAAAGTCTCAGAAGTGTCACATGCTGACTAATAAATTATATGGTCACTCTCTATCACCACTGATTATTTTCTTGTTTATTTGCTTCTCACCTGTCTGGACTGTAGAATGTAAACTCCAAGAAATGATGATGGGTGTAATGCAAAATCTTTGGAACCTACACAACTTCTTGGCCTTTTATAAATATTTATTGAATGAATCACCACAGTCTACAATTTCATAATTCTAGAAACCTGGAAGGCAAGAGGTTGAATCTTTAAAGATAGATGGTTTCTTATTTAGAGGGCATGGTTGGTATGTAACCCCTTTTTGTACTTCCTTCCCTATTGCTCCTTGTTGAAGTGCACCAGAAGAAGGGGCACATACCCAGGATAACAAGGGTCCTTTGAGTGTGTCCGAAAGCGAGGTGACAAGGTATTAAATGGAGCAAAATTTGGTTTGTGTGTTTGCTCCTGAAGATTGACTGTCTGGTACATGCCTGGGTAAGGTGTCACATCCTGTTTCCAAGAAAAAGATCAATATGTCAGAGGGTGATGTATATATATGTAAAGACTTCTAAGTAGAAAAAACAAACTTATCCTCCCCCTCTTCATGTATCAGCTATGGTTTAACTATATCAAGCTATAGAATTAGGCCTACAGTAGGTAGAAAACCAAAATAAGAGTATGGTTCAGCTACCTAAAAGTACCAAATGTTTTGGCTGTAGAAATAAGCCTATGGGGACAGAGAGCCAAGGTAACCTTATCATAGCTACTATCCCCACCATCCCACCATCCCACTCAGATTTTCTTTTGGAGCCAGTATCCCTCTCCCTGAGCTTAAGGGTCAAGAAATGTCCAACAAGAGATTAGGAACCTATACTGAAGACTCGAAATCCAATCACACAAAAATGTTAAGAAGTTAGAACTGTTTTTTTAACTGATAAGATATTATACTATATATTACATATAATTATATGATGCATATAAACAAAGCTTCCAGTATTTTATCAGCAGGTGTCTCAGGACTGAAGCCCTGCCTTGGTACCATTTCTTCTGAGAATTATTTTCCACTCTCCCAGGACACTTACACACACATTTCCCATATTAACACCCAAGTTTTCATGTAGACTCCTTAGTAGCTTTTGTCCAGATGACTTTCATCTTGAATTTCAGGATATACTTTAGGTAACCTCCAACTGTGCTCCCCAATACAAATACAAGCAGCAACATGGATCACACTGAAATCTAAGCATGTCCAGCCATTTCTAACCTTGTTCTTTGGCTTAAACCTCACAGCTGTTCTGGCTCCAAAACCATATCCTTTTATACTGGTTGGGATCTTAGCGAGGTTGTATGCCAAGTCTTTACTCTTCATGTGTTATGTAGAAAACAAAGACAAAACACACATAGAGAACATTATAGTTATTAAAACAGAGTGATCTTAGTATCCCTGAATCTTCTCTGCTCAAGTTGCCCTTTCTTTCTTGATTCCTCTGAATTAAGACCAATTACATGTGTAACACAGGCTTCTCTACAAAGCAATGTGGCTGGATAGGTAGAGTGAATGACATTTGAATCCAGTGAATCTACTTTTCTGAGCCCTACAGTGCTGAATCAGCTTTATATGGTTTCAACTGAATCTGATTATGATTTCATAAACTAGCTACCAACACAGACACAGTAGGTTTGGACTAAGAGGAAATATTTAGTCACTGGCCTTTGTAGGTGTGAATGATGAAGGAACACTTACTGGGGATGGCATGAGGCCAAAGCTTGCATTTGGTGGGGATGGCAAATGCGAGTAATGGCCCTTTACCTTCTGATAATGGCCCTGACAGCTGGTTGCAGACAGAGGACCAGAGAGCACTTTCTCATGCTGGGACCCAGAAAGTGACAAATGCACAGGGCTTTTCTTTTAGGAAACTTGGGTATCCTTAGATAGTCTGGGAACTGACACCACCTGAGGGAAGGTGAATACTCACCTCTTCTGCTATATAACATCCAGGCCCTCTGTGGGGCACTCCCCTAATAGGGAGAAACTTGTTCCCCAATAAGCTTGGGGGATGGAAGTAAGGAAAGATCTTCCTATGTTGACAAGTTCCAAAGGAGTAGTTAACCAGCGTCTCTGGAGAGCGAGGAAGAGGAGAAACCCACATGAAGGAAGGCCCTGTGGTCCAAACGAGGGTTGGGGGCAGGGGCGGGTGTGGGGAAAGGTGGCCGAGACCTGAGCAGACTGCACTCTTAACGAAACTGTGACCAATCCAAGGAGACGGGCAAACTACATTTCCCTCCTTTCCCTCTTGGTCTTTCCCTGTCTCCCCATCTTCCTTCTGCCTCTACTCTGACTCAGCCCTCCTCACCTGCTTTGCCGAAGCACATCGCGCCAGTGCCTCTACAGCGAGCGTTTTGAATCGCGTTGCCTAGGGAACAGGCTGGCAGGCAACCCCAGCTTTCGTGCGCCTGCGTGGCAAGAGGGTCTGCCCCGGAGCCACGTTGGGCCACGCTGGGCCCAGTTGGTTAGGAACCTGCACCGCTAGAGTCAGGAGCCCAGGAGGGTGTGAACTAACAAAAACAAAATAAGTGTATGTGTACCAAAGAAATGAAGGACATAAAAAGGCTGAGGAATTACTTCAGATTCAGGCATATTGATGAAGCATGAAAATCTAATGTGACATATGTTCCTAGATTGGATCTTGAATGAGATAAGAAAGATACATTGTTGGGAAAGTTATTTAAAGGTTTTTTCCTACTTAGCCAGTCACTGAAAAGACACTAAATTATTCAAAATATTTTTTTTAAATGACTGTGTAAGACATTTATTCAAGTTGTTCAACAAATATTTATTAGTGTCCAAATAATGGTAAAGATTTAACCATACTGGACTGTGTGCTACTTAGATCATTTTGGAGATTCATCTTTGTCTCCTAAGAACTTAATTTCCAATGTTTTCTTACTGGAAGCAGAATGATGGATTTTACCAGCCATCCCACCTCCCCCCTGTCTTTTTCTGGAAGCTTTCCCCACCTAGTTTTCTGATCTGTTAGTAGGACAACAATAATGCCAGGATAAAGCTAAATGGCTTGTTAGTTAAACTCTCTAAAGATGTGGACTCTCCTTTTACAGAAATAATTTTGTTAGTTTAGTGACAATAGACTACTTGAATCCTAGAAGTGAATTGCTATCTTGGTGTAAACCAAGCTTGTTTCACTCAGTCTCCTCTCCACCACCAACAGGTGCTGATGAATTATGGGAGCTGGATGAGAGCAAGCCACTCATTGTTAGCAAGTTTTGCAAGTATGAGGTTTGTTCCAAATTATTATATTTACGTAAACCTTTCTTTCAGTAAATGCTTTCTTTCACTTAGTACTTCTGTGCATTCTGAGGAAGCTTTAGAGCATGTAAGGAGAGCCAACAAACATGGAAGAAGCTGAGATAATTATATCCAATCACCCTTTGCAGGGAGTTTCTTAGCGTTAATCTCTGGGTCACATTGAACATTATTAGAATCACTTGTGCAGAACCTGGTTTTGTTTGGATAAAGGGTAAGCAAGCTCTAGTCTCAATTTTGAGTTAAAGTTTCCCTAGAGCATCAGCAGCCTATATAGATCAATTTTTGGAAAATAAAATAAGCAGAACAGTCTAGGACCCAAAACACATTGTTTTATTGCATTCTCCATGAAAAATGGGCATCTATGAAATTTTTCATCTTCATTTTATGGTCACAAAACTTGTTCAATCCAGAAAGACTCAAGCAGGTACAGAGATGGGGAGAGAAATTTAACTTATTTTAAGTTACAGAGGCATATGACACATAATCCATGATCCTAAAATATTTTGTCATCTTGTGTAAGGTTTAATACCCTCCTCAACTTATTGTGGAAAATTTCCTTATCTTGTACATGATATGCCATAGCTTCAATATATAATATATCATCAAAATCCAAAAGATCATCTGATCTCTGTTTCTGCCCTGCAAATATGTGTTAATATGCAATATTTGTTTTTCTCTTTCTAACTTACTTCACTCTAACAGTAAAAGAGTGACAGTCTCTAGGCCCATGCACGTATCTACAAGTGATGCAATTTCATTGCTTTTAATGGGAGATTGGGATTAACATATATACTCTACCATGTGTAAAATAGCTAGCTAGTGGGAATCTGCTATATAGTACAGGGAGCTCAGCTTGGTGCTCTGTGATGACCTAGATGGATGGCATGGGAGGGGTGGAAGAAAAGTCCCACCATGGGTGGGGATATACAGAGGAGCCTGGTGGGCTACAGTTCATAGGGTCATACAGAGTCAGACATGACTGAAGCAACTTATTACAACACAACACATAGCTGATCACTTCGTTGTACAGCAGAAACTAACACAACATCATAAAGCAACTATACTCCAATAAAAAACAAATCAAAGGAAGAGTAGATAGAGTTTACACCAACCTTTTAACTTTCTGGTGGGAGCCCAGCTAGTGCCACTGGTTGCAAGTTCCCTCAGTAAATATAGTCATATTTCAATATCACCGTGATGTTGAGGCTCACATTCTGGTAAAGCATTTTACTTTGAGAGGCACCACGTTATATGCATTAGGAACTTCAGTTTCAAGCTAAAATTTTCCACTCCAATAGTAATGTTTATCTGGGATGTTGGCTGAAAAGAATGAAACTTGTTTATATCAGAAAATGTGCTTTACATGTACAAGCTAAATCAGCTTCAGGTTCTGCCAGATCCTTAACAAGAAATTTGTCACTCAAAAGAGCCCTCTGTTTAGGTCAGAAACTGCCTGATGTACAGGCCTGTGACCATTATTCAATGTCAACTTGCCTGGCAGAGTTAGCATTAATTCTACCTTTGATCTTGGCACCTGAGATGCAGATTTGGTGCCCAGCACAGAGTGCCCATCCCTGGGCCCATGGTAGATTCCTCATAGCAAGACCAATTTGGGTATCATTTGTATAGTTATTTTTAAAAATTATAGTAAAATGTAATATACAATTTATATTTTAATCATTTTAAGTGTGCAATTAGGTGGCATTAAGTACTTCCACATTATTGTGCAACAATCAGCAACATCCATCATCCCAAATTGGAACTCTGTAATCATTAAACAATAACTCTCTCCTCCCAGCTCTTGGCAACCACCCTTCTACTTTCAGGTTTGTGGGTTTGACTATTCTAGGTACCTCATATGAGTAGAATCATACTGTTTGTCCTATGTGTCTGGATTGTCATTTGACTTTATAAGGTGTTGCCTTACTCCTCAAAGTGTAGGACCAGCAGGACTGGCATCTCCTGGAACTTGTGAGAAGGGCAGAATGTTCAGATATCTTAAATCGTAATTTATACTTTCCTGGTGACTAGTGCCTAGCAGCCTCTTGTGCCCAATGCCAACCCTGGGCCCCTGTTGCAGACTCCACTTGGCAAGGTCAATGTGTGCCTTTTTGTTTTCTCTCAGTTGTTTTTTGAACAACATTATGGTAAAATACAAAATTTTAAGTATATAATTCACTGGCATTAAGTACATTTATGTTGTGCAACCACCATCCCTCATCCCAAATTGAAACTTTGTATCCATTAAACTCTTCTCCCAGACCTTGGCAACTACCCTTCTACTTTCCTGTCCATGAATTTGACTGTTCTGGGTACTTCATATGAGTGGAATTATACAGTGTTTTTCCTATGTTTCTTATTTGATTTGCTAAGGTGTTGCCTTACTCCTCAAAATGTCCGTGGACCAAGCAGCGTTGGCATCATCTGAAACTTGTTAGAAGGACCAAACATTCAGACCACTAAAATCAGAGTTTATATTTTCACAACTTCCCCAGTGACTCGTGCGTGTTAAAGTTGGAGAAGGACCAACTTCGATTATGATCCACTGAGAATTTTAGATGGTCAGGAACCAGGCAGAGAAGTCACCAGCGATATAAGAGAGAACAGTTTCGTGTGTCAAGCTTTTGGGCATTGTGATGTGTGGAAGTGAGCAAGATAGACATGGTCAGCCCAGCCTCCAGCAGCTAAGTCTAGAGAGAAAGAGACAGGGTGGAATTAGTGTTTTAGTGTTAGCCAAAAATAAAGAAAGAAGACTGCCGGAAAACAGAGATTGTAGCCAGTCATGAAGAAGTGGTAAATCTTCCCTGATGAAGTGACATTTGGATTGAGTCCTAAAGGTTGAGTGTGGAGTTGCTGTTGCTTGGGGCTGGGGAAGAATTCCAGATGTGTGAGTCTTGCTGTGGAAGGAGCTTGGAGTTTCCTAGAGAAAGAGGTATTGCAACCAGGGTTAAATGGAGGTGGAGGGTACAGGATAAAGTATGAGGCCAGTTGCCACTGGATGTGGGTGCTGTGAGCCATGCTGAGGATCTCAAAGCAGTAACATGTTGGAAGTGCTTTTGAAATGGATTCCATTGCTGTGCTTCGTGGAGGGGAGACTATGGAAGCTTAAAGGTGACGAGGTTTTTATGTTTTGTTTTTTTCTTTGATCTCAGCCACTAGGGTGTAGGCAGCTGAACTAGACTTGGCCATTTGGCTATTCCCATCTGGAACTTAAATCTGGAGGCAGAACTGCAAAGATTTAAAGAATGGTTATCTGACAATAATGAGGACAACTCGGTGGCAGCAGCACCGAAGCCAGCAGTGGAACTTCCTAACCAGACTTCCCATGGCAGGACTCTGGCAACGTTTGTGTTTTTTGTTTGTTTGTTTTTTCAAGTTGAAGGATAATTGCTTTACAGAATTTTGTTGTTTTCTGCCAAATTGTTGTTGTTTTTAATAAATATTCTTTCTTGATCCTGACTATGTTTTAAGATTGATTCTTGATATTGAGCTCCATATTCATTTGCAAATATTTTCTCCCTCTCAGTAGGTTTTTGTTTCATTTTGTTGATTTCCTTAAAAACTTTTGATTAGGTCCTATTTATTTTTGCTTTTATTTCTTTTGCCTTAAGAGACAGATCTAAAAAAATACTGCCATTTATGTCAGAGTATTCTGTCTGTTTCTCTTCTAGGAGTTCTGTGGTCTCAGATCTCACATTTAGATCTCACATTTAATCCATTTTGAAGTTTTGCTTGTATATTGTGTTTGAGAAAGTTCTAATTTCACTCTTTTACATGTAGCTGTCCAGTTTTCTCAGCACCATTTATTAAAGTGACTATCTTTTCTCCATTGTATATTCTTGACTCCTTTGTTGTAGATTGACAAAGTGTGTGAATTTATTTCTGGGCTGCCTATCCTATTCCATTGATCTATGTGTCTGTTTTTGTGCCAAAATTATACTACTTTGATTAATGTAGCTTTGTAGTATGGTCTGACATTATGGAGTATGATACCTCCAGCCTAGTTATTTTTTCTCAAGATTGCTTTGGCAACTTGGGTTATTTGTGGTTACTTGTTCTTAGTTCTGTGAAAAATGTCATTGGTATTGTGATAGGTATTGCATTACTTCTTTAGATTCCCTTCAGTAATATGGACGTCTTAACGTGTTAATTCTTCTAGTCCAAGAACATGGGCTATCTTTCTATTTCTTTGTGTTGTTTTCAGATTCCTTCATCAGTGTTTTATAGTTTTCAGAATGTATGTCTTTCACGTCCCTGGTTAAGTTTATTCCTAGTTATTAATACTTAATTATTTTTGATGTGATCATAAATGGAATTGTTTCTCCTTAATTTTTCTTTGTTTCCATAATTTTCATTATTACAAACAAAGAACCCAATTAAAAGTGGGCAGAAGACCTGAAAAGACATTTTTCTGTAAAGATATTTAGATGGCCTACAGGCACATGAAAAACAGCTAACATTACTAATTATCAGAGAAATGCAAATCAAAACCACAATGAGATGCCACCTCACTCCTGTCAGAATGGTTATCACCAAAAAGTCTACAAATAATAAATGTTGGTGAGGATATGGAAGAAAGGAAATCTTGATACAGTGTTGGTGGGATTGTGAATTGATGTAGCCATTATGGAAGATAGTATGCAAGTTTCTCAAAAAACTAAAAATAGAACTACAATAGGATCCAGGAATTCCACTCCTGGGTATGNGTTGTTTGCATCCACACTACCCTGTTAACGACTGTCTTGGTCAGTGCTGAAAAAGCTGCATGTTTTATAAATTTGGAAATGAAGTAGAAGCTGTTGTCAGAGTTATGGGAAACTTTCTGTGAGTTCATCACTGTCATCAGGAATAACAGCCCCTCTTTGTTGGTTTCTATTAGGGGTATTTTCTTTCTTGTTCTGACCCTGTTCTGCTGACTCCAGCCCCCACCCTCCCAATATTCTTTATGGGGCCCATCCACTCTGATGGATGTGCTGCCAGAGAGGCTAGTTAGTGTTGTTGCTCAGTTGTGTCTAGCTCTTTACAACCCCATGGACTGTAACACCATAGACTGTAGCCCACCAGGCTCCTCTGTCCATGGGATTCTCCAGGCAAGAATACTGGAATGGGTTGCCATTTCCTCATCCAGGGCATCTTAACAACCTAGGGATCAAACTTGGGTCTCGCACATTGCAGGAAGATTCTTTACCACCTGAAATACCAGAGAAGGACTTAGTAATAGTGTAGCAGGTGCAGTTGGCTGTATAACATCTGTTCTCCTTTCTTCCTCCATCTTTACTGATAGAACTTTGATTTTGCTCATCCACGGGTAGTCATGTCCTTCAGAGAAGAAATATATCAAGAACTTGAGTCCTGGATGATTCTGCTGAACACCTGAATTAAACAATGCTGATTAAGCCACCTCTTCTGGATTTCTTGCAATGAATGTTAATAAATTTTTATTTTAGTTAAATTGCTTCTAGTTGAGATTTCTATTGCACCTAACAAATGCAAGTAGTTAATAGTGCATGATGTTTTTGAGTACTTAGCCTTTAAAGTAAGACTTTTAATAATCTAAACACTCTGTAAGATTATTATCAATATATTAATGTTATAGATGGGAAAACAGGCTCATGAATATTAAGCAACATGATCCAATGTTATACAGTCTATCAGTCAGCATCCTAAGGAAAATAGATAGTACACTCAAGATAATTTGAGGGAGGGAGATTTATTTGCAAAGAGACTAACTACAAAGATTAGTATTTTAGGGGAACCACAAGGTTAGTCCATGAAGCCAGGGCTAGAACAGTGGAGCTGGTACAGGGAGAGGTTTCTAGAAGCTGGAAGAAGAGAGAGTCAGGTAGAGCAGTCCTCCTTGAGAGGAGCAGTGACCCCTGATGGAGGGATATAGTCACCTTGATGTGATTTCATAGGGAGAGATGAGGGGAGTAAACACCCTGACCTCATTCTCCTCCTTACTCTACCCTTCATTCAAGCAGGGCATACTGAGCTATTGGATGTAGTCCAAACAGACCTCCAGGGCTGGAGAGGAAGGTGGAGAAGGATGGGGAGGTAGAGGGACAGTTGGAAAATATCTGTTACGATCCACCCTGTTTGCCTCTAGTGTCCTCTCGTCTGAAATGCAGGTAAAATTTCATGTCCTCAACACAGGAGATACCCCAAGTTCCCTCAACTACTTATCATCATGGGACAGTGTTCATTTGTTCATAATCACCTTAAACTAAACAGCTATCCATCAACAGATAAAGTAGCAGAAGGGAAATGGAAAGGTAAAAACAAGTAATGTAAAGTGTACCTGTTACAACCTCTGCTTCTGTAACAATGCCAGTTGCCTCTTTCTAAGCCAAAGTGTACTCTTGGCTGTATATTTGCTTATCTCATATATTCCAAAGGCAGACTACTTAATTGTTTTAGGGCTAAAAAGGTAAATTAATCATGTATCCTCACTAAACGAGCTCACTTTGCAATAGATGAAACAGTTGTTTAGGGGGGTGGTCCTAAGATGGCGGAGAAATAGGATGGGGAGACCACTTTCTCCCCCACAAATTGATCGAAAGAACATTTGAACACTGAGAAAATTCCACAAAACAATTTCTGAATGCTGGCAGGGGACATCAGGCATCCAGAAAGGCAGCCCACTGTCTTCAAAGAAGGTAGGACAAAATACAAAAGATAAAAAGAGAGACAAAAGAGTTAGGGACGGAGACCCATCCCGGGAAGGGAGTCTTTTTTTTTTTTTTCATTTATTTTTATTAGTTGGAGGCTAATTACTTCACAACATTGCAGTGGGTTTTGTCATACATTGACATGAAACTTTGGCATAGTCAATAAAGCAGAAATAGATGTATTTCTCGCCCCATTACCTCATGGCAAATGGGGTGGGGGAGAGCTGGAAGCAGTGACACATCAAACCAGTCAATCCTAAAGGAAATCAGTCCTGAATATTCATTGGAAGGCCTGATGCTGAAGCTTCAGCTTCAATACTTTGGCCACCTGATGAGAAGAACTGACTCGTTAGAAAAGACCCTGATGCTGGAAAAGATTGAAGGCAGGAGAAGGGGATGACAGAGGCTGAGATGGTTGAATGGCATCACCACCTTGATGGACATGAGTTTGAGCAAGCTCCATGAATTGGTGAAGGACAGGGAAGCCTGGTGTGCTGCAGTCCATGGAGCTGCAAGGAGTTGGACATGACTGAGCAACTAAAGTGACCTGAGTGACAGATTACCTCTTCTTTGGCTTTAAAATCCCTGCAGAAGGTGACTGCAGCTATGAAATCAGAAGACGTTTGCTTCTTGGCAGGAAAGGAAAGCTATGACAAATCTAGACAGTGTTTTGAAAAGCAGAGACATTACTCTGCCAACAAAGGTCCATATAGTCAAGGCAGTGATCTTCCCAGTGGTCACGTAGCATTTTGAGAGCTGGACCATGAAGAGCTGGAGCACCAAAAAACTGAGGCCTTTGCACTGTGGTGCTGGAGAAGACTCCTGAGAGTCCCTTGGATGTGAACATGAACTTGGGCAAGCTTCAGGAGATGGTGAGGGACAGGGAGGACTGGCATGCTGCAGTCCATGGGATCGCAAAGAGTCAGACATGGCTGGGCAATTGAACAACAACCAAGCAACCTGCTGATACAAATTAAACTTTCCTGGCCTTTGTACTGGAAAGGAAGTGAATTCAACCACTAGCCATTGTTACTTTGCAGTGTCATTTATTATATTGACATCTAGTTAATCCATCAGTGGCATGTGGATTAGGTGAGCAGTAGTCTGAGTCTCTGGGAGGATAAGCATAGTGGATACCCAGAGAACATCCAATTTTTGGTCCTTGTGATTGAGTTCAGACACTGAAATATGGGACCTACTCATGGTTAGAACCTTTTTAGCAGAAAAGTAAACTGGTAGATCATGGAATCATTGGCTTATATATCTATTTTATTTATCCTTAATATTTTTGCTATACTTTAAAAAGATTGGCTCTTAGGGTCCAGAACTGCATTCAATTTACTTCTTAGGTTTTTGACCCCTCTCATGACAGTGTCATTATCAGCTCGTATACTGGCTCAGACATTGTTGACTCATACAAGAATTCAGATTTTTGTCTTCTCTCAAGAAATTGAAGAATCCTCCAAAACATTGGTTCTGTTTCACTGCAAGGCAAAAGTTAGTGGCTGTTCATGCTAATCTCTGATGTCTCCCCATGGAGCGGCTTCGTGTTAGCTGAAGTGTATTACTTGACTTGGACTATTTTTCTTCAAATCCACTGGAGAGTGAACTATTGTGTCCTCTTCACTGATTTACATTACCTGCCTGTCAGCATTTGAGTTTGAGAACCCTGCTCTGGGGGCAAACTCTTATGCCATCTCTAATAACTGCTACCATTCACTGAGTCCTCATATATGCAAAGCACTGGACTCACAGTTTTTCATACAGTTTTTATCTCTCTAAATCATATAAAACCCTATGAGGTGAGTTCAAGTGTTACCTCCATTTTACAAGTGTGGAAGCTAAAGCTCAAAGAGCTGACTGATTGCCCAAGATGCTAAAACTTATGCTTTTTGACAGTGGGATTCAAACTTTGGCCTGGCAGAGTCCATGGCTGAGACTTTTTAACATTACACTACGCAACCCTCCAAATGACTAATCTCCTAACAGTAGGATTCCTGCAGCCCTTCAGTGTTTCTTCCTCCGACTCAGTCCATGTGGGGCTGAATTACAGGAAGAGGGGCCAAGCACTGCCCTGCCCTCACCAGGCTGGTGGTGGACACCCGCCTATGCCAGTGTCAGAGGGCGCTGTTCCTTTGTTGGATCTGAAAGCTATGGCTCTGCTGGGCGGGACAAGAGGAGATGCTGGGGTCACTGTGACTCTGGGCAGCTGCCTATTAATCACTGGTTTTGTGTGTGTGTGGTGGGGCTGTCTCAGCGCTGTCCCAAAGTTGTACCTGGGGAATCTCATATAAAGGAGCTCCAGCCCCAGGCCTGCAGCTGTCAGACCACAGAGATGGGGAAGCTGCTGCTGTGGGTTGGTGAGTGTGGTGGGTCCCAGCCCCTCAATGTCTCTTAGTTCAGGAGGTGCCAGGCTTTATAAGCTTGTTGTCTCACTGTTACCCAAGGAACATCCTGGGACTTGGGGGCACAGATTAGGTAGAGGTGGACAGGACACAGTAAAAGGAGAAGTGATCAGAGAAGTGGTTCTTAACCTTTCTCACCTTTGACCAATTAAGCAGAATCTCTGAGGGAGGAACCAGGATATCACTACTTTTAAATTAGCATCCAGGGTTGAAACTTCCCTGATGGCCAAGACAGTAAAAAATCTGCCTATAATGCAGGAAACTCAGAGTCAATCCCTGAATGAGAAAGATCCCCTGGAGAAGGGAATGGATACCCACTCCAGTATTCTTAGCTGAAGAATTCCATGGGCAGAGGAGCCTGGTGGGCTACAGTCCATGGGGTCACAAAGATTCAGACACGACTTAGTGACTAACACTTTCAGGGTTGAGAATCACTGGTCTGAACCTTGCTGGGACTTTCAGTGTCATCGTTGTCCCTATGCAAAGCCTGTGTGTCTACATATAGAGTATATTGGAGTGGGAAGAAGCTTAGATAGATCTGAAGAGGAAGCTTAGATAGAGAAGAGGAAGGAGGGAAGGGTGTGTGTGTCTGCATTTGTGGGAGCTGGAGGGTGAGCTGGGGTGTGTCACTCTGGGTGTACCCGTGAATCTGCGTGTGTTTCTTCCTTTGTCTCCTGCAGGGCTGCTCCTTGTGCTGAAACACCATGATGGTGAGGAAACTGTGGTCCTCTCCAAAGCTGGGGAGAGTGTCCACTGAGAACTGCTTCAAGTCCAGTGTCTGCTGGGCCCGCCCTGGCTCTGCGTCGGGGATCATTGACTCAGTGCCGCCCAGCAGCAAATTCTCGGTCACTGCTGGGTCTTCTCTGTGCTGGGATCCAGACTCTCGGATCCATTCTGACCAGGCTTTCACGAGGCGTTCTTTCCCCAGGGGACCTCGACAGTGAGGGAGGGACCTCCCCTCAGTGTAGCTTTGGGGGGGATGTGTTTGGTAGGGGTTACAGTGGACCGGCCTCTAGAGAAGTGTCCACACTGCTGTGGATGCTGAGCTCCATCTCCACTTGGTTCCTACCAATAATGCCTGCTGTCCCCTGCCAGGTGCTGCCCATAAGCTGGTGTGTTATTTCACCAACTGGGCATTCAGTCGGCCCGGCCCTGCCTCGATCCTGCCCCGGGATCTGGACCCCTTTCTCTGCACCCACCTGGTATTTGCCTTTGCCTCGATGAAAAACAATCAGATTGTTCCTAAGGATCCCCAGGATGAGAAAATCCTCTACCCAGAGTTCAACAAGCTCAAGCAGAGGTGTGTTCACTGCGTCTGTGGGGGTTGGATTTTACAGTCTCCCCCTCCTCCCATCCCCACTACTTCCCACTGTTCCCCA